TAAGTAACAGGCTGTTTATAAACTTCAAGCATTTCAAGTATAGACAGCAAAAAAAAGGAAAAAATTAAAGTACCTCAATGCAATCTTCACGGTGCAATAGTCCCACACAGCTGCCCCACTCATCTATTATAGGCACAACTGGTTCTCTAAAGAAGCGCATAACCACTTTCTTTAACTGCAGAGTACCGAGTAATGGCTGAGTGGCTTCAAAAGGCATCATAATTCTTTCTATTGGTTCACTCAGCATTACCTAAACAGATTGTTAAAACCAAAAGGCATGTATTATATTTTCAATAGGAAAAAAAAAAGATCTTAAGAGCTTAGAAGTTAAGTAGTGAAAAAATGATTTGCAAATGACATGTATTAACCAATCAGATCTAGGTAGTATTCTGTTATCTCCAGAATTTTAAATAAACCGAATACAGATATTAAGGGCATTGCTTCATCTAAGGATATTGCAAGAAGCAGGAAATAGTTTTATCAGCTTGTCCACAGACAACAAAATATTAAACATTGAAGGTCCTTGCATTTGGTCAGACTTGAAAGGCAAGGGGACCTACTATTGAAGAGCTAATGGTCACAAGCCCACTAAAAGACATCTATACTTCAGCATTAGCAGTTTTCAGTGCATGGAAGCAAATATACCTGAGGAAGTAGATAAGGAGAGAACATGGATTTGGTGAATCCCAACAAAGCCTCTATGCACACAGCAACCTGCACCGTAAGAAGCTGGTAAGGTGGGGAACATATTGGCTATTGCCAAAACATGGGTGGGCAAACAGTACAATTAACATATAAAAGGTGGCAGCACTAGACTCAGTGGAAAGGGATTAGAGATATATAAACTGAAGGATATAACAGTCAGAGTGAAGCATCTTAAGGAGGTTTCTCTGTAGCCATTTACACAACTGAACAAACTTCAAAACAATCAGTTACTTGCTCAAAACCAAATGAAATTTATTTGGACTTTTCTGAATGAAAATTTTCAATAGCATACCATGCCTGCTCGACTCATCCACGATATCCCCTTCCATCTTGCAAGAGTAATTGAAAGATTTTTTATGGCAACATCAACCTGACAAAACATAAATAGATGCGTGTATTGTAAAGTTGAGAACCAACATGTGGATAACATGTCTTGAACAAATATCTTTGGTGAAATCTCACGTAACCAGAAAGCAAAGACATTCATGCAGGAAGAGGCATAAAATCAAAGACTACACTTAAATGGATCGGATACCTGGCCACCATTAAAAGCTGCCTCCACGAGAAGATGATCAGCTTCTTCTTGAACTTCTGGGGAGATTGTTCCAGAAGAATCTGGCCACATGCGCCTGTACAGATTTCTGACCATATAATAATTTCCTTGAACAGAAAAAGCACGCATCAGCGAAAGATAGAGGTGAGGCTTTGGTCGCAGGTCTGGGTCAGCACCACCTCGCTTTAATATTTCTCCAAAAGTACAAAGAGCACCTAAGCATAAATGTCAAAAAACATTTTATATGTGAGCCTCGAATTATGTCTCAGCTCTTTCTCAACTAAAGTAGAATTTAATATCTTCCATCAACATCGAAATGAAAACTAGTACAAATAGTGACCACAAAAGCAATTGTTACATATTTCATATGATAATCACACAAGTTATCAAATTGAACTAGTGAGGATGGGAAACCTAAATTATTTTTATATAAATTGAGGTTAAAGCTTTATACAGACAATACCACCATGCAAAAGTGCAAGAATGGGGTTGGATTTAGATTCAGTTTGAGCATTGATTCTCACATAGTATTCATATAGTTAATATTGTCTAGAAGCCACTTCACATCCAAAACCCAGACAACTACATACGCTGGCATAAGATTTGAAATCCAGATCCAAAATTGAATCACCAAAAAACAATTAAGTCAATAAATTATATGCCGCTCTCAGTTGCAGAATCCTGAAATAAACAACAATATTTTATGGGTTTGTGGACATTATGATTAGAAGAGAACTGATTTTTGAAGATTGTTCCTCTTCAATTCAAGATCTGTGGGAGAGGATGACATTTTTGGCTTCTTTATGGGTGAAGGCCCATGGAAAATTTTCAGATATGTCCATTTCTATGTTATACAGGAACTTCAGAGGCCATAATTTCCTGAGCTCAGTGAGTTCAGTTGTAACTAATTTATGTTTTGAATCATCTTGTAAAAAGGCTCTAGGAATATATCTTATTCTCTGTCATTACATTTATACCATTCTCATCTTTAATAATATTTCTTTTTCAATGGAAAAAAAGGAATCCTGAAACAACAAAGGAAAGTACCATACCTTTATTTAACCCACAATCAAGCAATGCATCGATGATTGCAGTTAATGCAGTTCTATCAACATAAAAATCATCACGTGATTTCATTTCCAGCACAATCTTTTGAAGTGAAAGGGAATCCTTGGCTTGTCCAAAGCCCTACTCATTCAGGGAAGAGCCACAAGAGCAAGAGAAAAACAGTCTGTTCATCAATACAATAAATCTGGCAGAAGGTACATTATTTGCATGCATCGCAACACGACTGATTAAATGCTATCAAAATGAAAAGCCCCAACATGCCCCTTCTTCCACATTAGAAAGTTAAACTCAAGCAATCTTCCCATGTATAAATTAGACAAGTGCAAGAACCCACCTTAAGTAATGTGGTGTAAGTGATATTGTCTGGGCACAGATCACTATTGCTATACATTTGTGCTTTGCCCTGGAAGACAAACCATGTGAACAAGAATAATAATTAAGGTCAACTGAACCAATTCTATATTTGCAAGGAATATTTAGAGGCTCAAAACTGGCCTTTCAAACATGCCGTGACCTTCATTTCCTCCAAAAAATGCATTGCAGCGTCCAATTTTCCACTCTTGACACAGGCAAGGATTAAAGTATTGTATGTCAGCCTATCAGGTTCCAGTCCTAGATGGAACATTTCCTCATGCAAATTTACTGCAGCCTGGTAAGAGCCTGACTGAATGTAGCCCTGAGAGTAAATAACAATGGAAAGGATGCTAAGCCATAAGGCAAACACTTCAGCATTAGATAGTTTCATCTTTGTGAAAATACCACACGCAAATATAAATCACAGAAGCTAAAAACTGAGATACAAATGAACTCCTTGATTTCAGAAAACCATAGGTCTGCATGTGATGAAATACCTTCATTAATAAGTTGTATATCCGTACCGAAGGACTGCCACCCTCATGGAGCAAAAACCCATAACGTGCGAGAAGACCATTAGCACGGCGCAAATCTCCTGCACTAAAACAGAGCAAGTGAATTGCCTTTAGCAGCATGAATTGATGCTTATGCCACCATGCTTCTAAAAAAAAAAAAAAGAAAACCATATGAAAAAAGATCAAGTACATATGCATTATCTGATTATCAGCACAAGTACATGTCACAATGTGCATGTCACTTTTTAGTAAAGCATGCCAGAAACTGACTACACATTTTACGCGTGTTAATTAAATTATAGTTAGAAAATCAGTGATCACTAATTTAATCACTTCTGCAGTAAGATGCATAAGAAATTAGCTCTCTTACACTTCATGCCTGAGGTAACCAAGTCATTAGATAATGATCAAACTAATCAAAAAGAGTGAAATGCGAGAGACATAGGTTTGATTTAAATTTAATTTGAGAATAAATGCAGATAAGATAAAAAAAAAAAAGACAACTAACATTCTAATTTTAAGTTAAATTCCCTGTCGAATTCAAATTAGGTGTCCTTATATTTGTTTCTTTTACATGTGAAAATAAAAATCAATTATTGTGAAATTGAAAATTTGAGTAACGTTCATTAATTATGCATGAAATGTTTAAACTATGATTAGTTTTTAAATATCAAATAACTAAAATCTAAGAATTTAATGGAAACAGAATAGATTTAAGCCAAATGCAAAGGAAAAGTAATGGCTAAAATGGCTTCAATATCAAGAACCACATATAGACAACATCAACACGTTAGGCAGCCTTCCATTGTCATAGCTTTGAACTCAATACATATGAATGGTGAAAACACTAAGATCAAATTAACAATTTAAGTGTTGCAATCGTAATTTTCCAACCATCTTTAATAAATTCAGCCATGATTTAAATACTATCCTCTCAAATGTTCCACGAGGTTCACAATGTAATGGCACTGCTCAAAACAGCAGCCCAATAATTCCGACCAATTAATTAGGAAACATCTCTTAATTAACACTTACCCATTTCGATTAAGGCGTTTAGCAGACCGAAGATAAGCTGCGCTGACAAATTTGGACTCCCTACAGCGTTTCCTCGCTCCACTGATTCCAATAATTGGAATGCTTCATCGATTCTTCGCGCTTTGCCTAGTCCCTTCGTAAAACAAAATGGTAAAATAGCAAACCATCAGGAAATTTTCACTTAATTACATGATCAGTCTCATAAATTAGCACGTAAGCATGACAAAATTGGTAACGCAGTTTGTTTAGTGTCGCAAAATAATGTTTGGTTAAGTACCTTTAAAAGGGTACCGTAAGTGATAGAATCAACACCACAGCTCTCAGGTTTAGCCATCTCATCGAATATTTTAAGAGCCAAGTCAACGTCTCCGCAATGAACACAAGCCTCCATGACCGCGTTCATCACTATCGTGTTCAGCTTCCCATAACGTCGTTTGGCCGCCTCGACTTCTTCGATGATCTGCAAAAGAGAAAAAGTTCGCTAAATCAGCCGAATCACCTCACACTCTCGAGAATCAAAACAAACAACGTAGCCAGCACAATGAATAAACCAAAAAATGTGGCGAAAAGAGATTAAGACCTGCTTAATTTGTCGACGGCGAGTGAGATAGACTATGCGGGAGGTGAGAGGCTTTAGATTTGGCGGTTTGTTGGTAGGGAAGGCCCTACGCAAACGACGGCGTTGTAATGGTGAGGAAGACGAAGACGAAGACGAAGACGGAACGGCCAAAGAGTAATGCCCAGGTACTGTTGCTACAAGTGGTAAGGCGTGAATGTGATGCATTGTTGGTAGCGACGATGTTATCCATTAGCCATGAAAACTTGAGAGAGTAGAGAAAGAGGATAAGCCGAAAAGTTTGGGAATTTTGGGAGAGGTGATTAGAGGCGGGGAAGCAACAGCGGAGTGGGTTGGGCGGTAAATTATAAAATACCCTAAAAGAATGTCTTAAATGTTGCTAATTATTTCCACTCTATTAGCAGAAATATATCACGATAAACACTAATAAAACGTTAGAATCTTATTCATGTTTAATATAATAATATATGCATATATATATATATACACACACACACACACATTAAAAATAAAAATAAAAATCCGAACTTTTCCAGTAACTTTTTTAGCATTTTTGTCAATTAAACAAAATATGATGTTCTTTATAAGTAAATTCGTGAGATAATTTTATAAATTTTGAGATTAAATTATAATTTAAAAAAAAAAAAAAAAAACTTGAGATTTAATTTTATGTAGCTTGAAGTTTGGAGAGTAAGTCAATAATTTATTTATTAAATTCTCATAGCACTCTTCAAATAAAAATATGCAAAAAAAAAATAAAAATATTTATTTATAGTAATATTTTAATTATTTTAAGTTAATTTGGTCATACAATACTAGTTTATTATTAGCTTAAAATTTTTAGTTACATGCAAAAATAATATTTTTAGAAAAATCATCAAACAAAATAAATAATTTAAGGAGTCAAGCATTGATGAACAGAAGAAAGATGTTGGAGGTAAACATGTAATATTGGTAGCATAAATCAGTAATCAAAAAATTAATTTTAAAATTAATTTAGGAGATTGACTCGTTACTAGTAAATCTATATCAATTTCGTGGTCATCTCATTATCTTTATAATGGTTACATATTGATTCTTGTTGAGTACCATTTATATAACCCATACTATTATTATTAATATTCACTAACTTAGATATTGAAGTTGTCAAGTGGGTCCATTATCTTTATAATGGTTACATATTGATTCTTGTTGAGTACCATTTATATAACCCATACTATTATTAATATGCAATAGTGAGTAAATTAAAATCTCCTACCATCACTTTTTTACATACACTATTGCTCTTTCTCTTTTACTCTTTTTTTTTTTTTTTTTTTGTGATAAGTGCATTCACTAACTTAGATATTGAAGTTGTCAAGTGGGTCCAGCCCATATTAAACAACACAACTATATATATATATATATATATATATATAGAGAGAGAGAGAGAGAGAGAGAGAGAGAGGAGTAAGTTTCTTTTGAAATTTGGTGTGTGTTTGTGTGTGCTTGGATATGATTAAAATCCTAAAACAAGTGGAATGCAAAGAAAAAATAAAGAGAGGAATGCAAAAGAAGAAAAAGAAAATTTTGCTTCTTTGGGGGGTGTTTTTTGAGTATTGTCAGAAATTAGTATAGATTTATTATTCAAGAATATTTTATTATTATTTTTCAAATATTTATCTATAAAAAGAGAGATTTGTACGGTGTTGGTTAGAAAAATAATTTGGGTATTTATTGGTTATAAAATCTAAATTTGTTATTAACTTTGAATTACCTATATTTTTTAATAATATATTTGATTCGGAGTTCAACTCATAATTTTTTTCTCTCTGTATTAGAGGATTTTTTTATATAAAATATTGTGTTTTTGTATTTTATTTTGTACTTAGATATTTCCTAGACCATAACTGAATTATTCTTTAGTTGATTTTAGTTAAATTTACGTAATTAATATTATTTAAATCACAATAAGTATTATACTTATAAAAAAAGATAATGTGCTTAATTTAATTTATATTGATATATGTAGTTCCATTAAAACTGAAAGTTCAATTGGTATTAGATTTTTTATTACCTTTATTTATGATACTTGATGAAAGGTGTGGGTTTTTGTTTTAAAGAGAGAATATCAAATTTTAGAGCACTTTAAAAAGTTTCATGTCATAGTAGAAAGAGAGATATGTATTATTTTGAAGTGTATTTATGGTGATAATAGAGGTGAGTACACATCGAATACGTGACAAACATGACATTAGACGTGATAAGACAATTTCTAACACCTTACAACATAATGGTGTGACTGAGAAAGGGAATCAAACCATCATTAAGAAATACAAATATATGCTCAAGATGGCTAACCTACCGAAACCATTTTGAATTGAAGCTCTACTTATTGCATGTTACCCATTAATCGATCTTCATAAGCTCCTTTAGATTATGACATCCTTAAGAGAGTCTACACATAGAAAGAAATATCATATTCTCATTTGAAGTTATTTGATTGCAAAATTTTTGTGCATGTACCTAAGGAGCATAGATATAAGCTTGATGACAAGGTCACTCGTGTTTTCTTGAGTTGGTTGGAGATGTAGATTTTCGATACAAGTGATGGGGTCTAAAGAAAGAGAAGATTGTTAGATATGAAATTTTGTCGTTCAAGAGTATGAAATCTTATATAAATCAAAGACAACTACGAAGACAAACACCAACATTATAGTTCGATTCTTTACCAACAATTGAATATGTTACAAGAGAATAATCGGGTGAAAAAATATTATAATTGAGCTAGTAGTATATGATAATACACATAAAGAGGGTGTTGAGCAGTGGGAGCAGCCCCTCCACCTTAGGTTACAATACCTCAACTTAGAAGATTTTTCAAAAAGCTATTACTATCCACTAAATATAAGAACTCTAAACATGTTACTTTTAAAATAAAAAAAATGTGCTAGAAAGCTTCCAAAAAGTTCAAACTCACAAGTAAAAAAATCGGTTGATGAAAGCTATCAAAAAAAGAAGAATTCTTTAAAGAAGAAGAACAATACTTATAAGTTGATAGAACTTTTAGAAGGTAAGAAATCTTGAGAAATAATAAGCATTTAAGCTAAAGAAAAATAATGATAAGATAACCGAGTATAAAGTTTACCTAGTGGTAAAGGATTTGACCAAAAAAAGTGAAATTAGCTTAGACGTTGACATTGAACATATGGATATAAATCTACATTTTTTCATGGTGATTCAGAAGAGAAGATCTACATGATTCAGCCAGAAGGTTTTGAAGTAAAGGGAAAAGAATTAATACTATCCAAAACACAATAGAAGTAATATATTTGGAATAAAATTTAGTATCACTTATTTGTTTATCTTAACAAGATATTAAGTGATGCAAAAGTTATCTTATCACTTAGTTAGCCTTCCTTCTAAACTTGATCTACTTCAATTTAATTATACTAGCATGTGAATAGTTTCTTATCCAATTTTTATTTAAAATTGAACAAATATTTTTGAATATAATGAAAAATCAACATTCATATTAACTGAATCACTTTTAAATAATAAAATCACATTAGTAACTAAAACTCATTGAACCCCTTAACGCAACATCAACAATACTTCCTTTGAACTTATAATAACTTTATTCTTATGACTCTTTTTAATTATGAATTTTGGTTAGCAAAATTTTTTAGAATCTCTCTTTTTTTTTCATTTGATGGTTCGTTATTATTATTTGAATAATTTTCTTGTTGAGAACTTCTAAACTTATACAAAAGTTAAATAAATTTTTGAATATAATGGGAGAAGTCATTTTGTTTTTGCCTAAATAAATTTCTTAACTTGTACATCAAGACATGACCTTCTCTTTATCATTTAGTTTGCNNNGTTAATGAAATCACCTTTCTGGTAATCTTTTAATAGAAAAATAAATCAACCAATCACGAGTGTGGGTGATATTTTAGTTATTTCTAAAAATATTATATAGTTTTTTATTTTTATCATGTAACAGTTTAGTCCAGTTAATTAATTGCAATACTAACAACAGTTAAAATAAACTGTAATATTTGTTTAAATTATAAAAACTGAATTATAATTTCTTAATTAATAAACCCAAAAGTCAAAATTAACCAATACCTTATCCTTACAAAAGTTGATATTTGGTTCACGAAAAGTAAGTGACTTTCGGCTTAGCATGAGAAGTTGATAGTAATATTATTATACGTTGGGAAATTGCACGTTTTTTCATATGTTTCATCTACCTTGCAAAACTGTTCAACGAAGAATCCTTCCAAACTTCAAATTACTCAGAATTTGTTAGACTCATTTTCTAGCTAATTTGTAGTGGATTGTGATGAGGAAAAATCTAAATGTATTTCATAAATCAACTTAACTTATTATATGTTTGTTATTACTTCTACGAAAAACTTTCACTTTTTAATTGTTCCGTCTCAATTTACTCTATTTGAAGAAACTGTAATTTCATTATTTTAAAAATAAGACTTCGAACTATTCATAATAATTTGTGTAAATAATAAAAAGAAAAAAGAAGGCTCCAAAATACACACTCAAACAATACAAATGCTAATAGATGACCGTCATCAAATCACTTCCAATCGACCATCTCATTGGATGATGATAAAGTAACTTTGACCCACCATAAAAACACAACTTTGATTCTTTCATTAAGAGAATTGTTTGATTGAAAATTATATTGTTTCTAGTTTACTAGATCCACCACACAATAGTTCTAAATAATAATAAGACTTACATGTAATTTAGGATGAAATAAAAAGAGCCCTTAATAAATCTCATATATGCTTGGCAAAAGATATGGTCAATAGAATTCTCTATCAATACTATCAAACCATAAAAATTTAATATATTAATCTACAATGACTCTTATGCAAATTATCTAGAATCTAGTCTCATCCTTTAAGAGTTTTCCATGTAAAGATTCTAAATATACAACAAAATTTTTTACTTTTTAAAATATTAGACAAATCTATATTTTTAGGTATTAAACAAACTCCTACTTAGTGCTCTACAAAATTTCTACACCCGATTCTTAAAAAGTACTAGAAAAACAAAAACATTAAAGATTCATTTTCTTAACTCATCATTGTAGAATATTTGTTTTTAAATCTTATTTATAATGTTTAAACTTATTAAAATGCATATTTTATAGCTTTATGCAAAATTTTTGTGATATAGATTCTAAATAAATCTAGCCATTTGAAAATTCCTCGTGCATGGCAAAGTTGTTTCTCCCTTAAGTAGGAGGGGTGGCGGTGGTAGTTTTTTGTTTTGGATTATTGAATTTTTCTCGATCTTCTTTTCAACTTTTTTCTATATCATAGCTTTTTCTT